AAGCTGAAGCAAAGAGAGAGAAAGGCAGTTGAAAGGATGGTTTAGGTCCTGCAATCAAAAATTATTTGGGGGCACCTGAATGACTCAGTTGGTTATGATCAGGTCATGATGTCACAGTTCGTGAAATTGAGCCCCACATTGGGCTTTTTGCTGACAGTGTAAGAAACCTGTCTCTGATTCTCTCTCTCTGCCCCTCCCCTGCTCACACTTGCTCTCTCTCAAAATAAATAAACTTAAAAAAATTTTTGTCCATTTGCAGAGGGAAATTCACATACTTCACATATAAATGAATAATCCAAACTGAGAAATACGCTATTACAATGGTTTTATCTGGAACATGGTGACTAGACCAGTTGTGGCAATGATGGACTATATTTTGGAGGAATTGAGTTTTTCAACTTTCTCACTGGGAAAACAACAGGCCTTTGACAGGAAGAGAGAAAGATATTCATTTTTTCTCTAATCCCCAAGAAAAATGGGAACTCTAGCGTCATCTTTAAAGGAGGGGGTGAAGGGGACTCTCCCAATGGGAAATAAGTTGGCATTTGCAACGTGGATGGCATAAGGAAGGACTACCATTAAGGAATCTTTGTGCAGAGGCATAGACAATGAATCTCTGATAGCTAATTTTAAAATTTCCTTTTTTTGGGGTGCCTGGGTGGCGCAGTCGGTTAAGCGTCCGACTTCAGCCAGGTCACGATCTCGCGGTCCGTGAGTTTGAGCCCCATGCCAGGCTCTGGGCTGATGGCTCAGAGCCTGGAGCCTGTTTCTGATTCTGTGTCTCCCTCTCTCTCTGCCCCTCCCCCGTTCATGCTCTGTCTCTCTCTGTCCCAAAGAAAATAAATAAACATTGAAAAAAAAATTAAAAAAAAAATTCTTTTTTTTGTCTGATAATTTCCTCCTATTCCCAAATCATCACTAAAATTTTGTTAAGCATAAGAGTCAGATAGTAGCTCTGTTTTAGGGGTTTACTTTTTGGTGTGATGTGTTAATTTTTAATGTAATGTGGACTGGGGTAAGTGGCAGCAGCATGGAGAAGTGGTTGTAAGACAGCACAGTATGACCAGTGGAAAAGTCTAAAGCACTTGCTCTAAGAAAGTGACAAGCAGACACACTTTTGGAACATATAACCAAGTATTTTCTAGGTTTCTCAGAAATACTTGGAAAAGGAAACTAGGCAGAGACTAGTGAAGTTACTTGAGGGAATGAAGGCTGAAGTTACATTATTTGAGTATTAAAGGGAAATGTAACCATTGAAAGTCAGAAGTGTTAGAGAAACTTGGTTTTATAGTAACTGTTAATTGCACAAAAAATTGAAAGGGAAAGCAGATGGTTTTCTGAACTTCCCACTAGTTACATATTGTGTGACCTTGGGTAATAAGTAGATACAATGAGCCCAAGATTTCTTACCTATGAAATGAGAAAGTAGATCATCTCCAACATTTGGCATCAACATTACTGGAATTTGTGTTTGGTCTTAAGGTGACTGCTATGAAGGGTCATAAACTATGTGAATTATTTTAATACATTATTTTTAAAAATAGTCTCCAATACTACATAGCTCAAATATGTGCCTTCATAAATCTTTGTTTTCTGACTCTACAGCTCCACATAATTGTCTATAATTCTAACATGTTCTTTTTCTTCCACTATATTTTTTTCCTGATCACAACAGTAAGTTCTGGCCATTATATAAAATTTAGAATCCCCAAAATTATGAATATAAATTACCTACACCCCATTACATATAGATAACTAGTATCAGAATTTTTGTGTACTATACATAATTTACATATATATGCACGTATTTCCATATTTTTGACACCGTTTTCATTAAACAACTTATCGTAGTTAACTTTCAATGTCAGTACAGAACTGTAATATTATCTTAAATGCCTTCATATTATTCAACTGTCTGAATAAAGTAAACATATAAATTGAATCCCTTTTTATGGACATTAAACTTGTTTCTGACATTTTGGTATTATAAGCAACACTGAAATTAACATTCTTTTTTCTAATTAAAAAAAATTCTTTTTCATGTTTATTTATTATCAAGAGACAGAGACGGAGCATGAGCATGGGAGGGGCAGAGAGAGGGGGAGACACAGAATCTGAAGCAGGCTCCATCTGAGCTGTCAGCACAGAGCCAGACGCGGGGCTCGAACTCACTGACTGTGAGATCATGCATGACCTGAGCCGAAGTCGGATGCTTAACTGACTGAGCCACCCAGGTACCCATCTTTTTTAAATTTTTAAAAATATTTTTATTTATTTTTCGAGAGAGACAGAGCGTGAGCGGGGGAGTGGGGCGGGAAGAGAGAGAGGGAGATACAGAATTTGAAGCAGGCTCTAGATCTGAGCTGTCAGCACAGAGCCCAACCCAGGACTCAAACTCATTAATTGCTAGATCATGACCTGAGCCTAAGTTGGATGCTCAACCAATTGAGCCACCCAGGTGTCCTGAAATTAATATGCTTATAATTGGTTTTGCTATTATTTTCTTAGATAAATTCCTTGAAGATTTGCTAGGTCAAGGAATATGCACATTTTTTAAAATATGAAATTTATTGTCAAATTGGTTTCCGTACAACACACAGTACTCACTCCAAAAGGTGCCCTCCTCAATACACATCACCCACCCTTCCCTCCCTCCCACCCCCCATCAACC